GTTTTCCAGAGAACTTGATCATTGAATTACTGATTACAAAAAAAGCCATTGCCTATAAATTATGCTAGTGCGACAAAATAGAGTCAAGTTGTATGAATGATCTTCATAAGGTTTAAGAAAATTCCAAACAGTTACATGTATTTAGTAAATTAATAATACACTAGTTAAGTATCACAGTATGAAGAGAGAAAAAATACAATGTCAGCTTGGTTTTGGAGGGTGACTGGCTGTTCATTTCGTCCTAAACAAACTCAGCCACATGAAATTAAACTGGCTGTGTCTATCTTTCATTCTTTGAAGCATATAAAAATTATGAAAGAACTGAATAGGATGTGTTAACTTCTTGTTTTACGTAGTAATGAAGTGTGTGGTTTAAAGAGGCAATTTACACCCTTTAATATTTATTATTGTTCAGAGATCTAGCTGTGGACAGTTTGTTGGGGGTTTGCTCTTGGGAAAATAAACTGCAAGAAAGTGGCATTTTTTATCCTATTTTGACATCTGTTATCTGAAAGTAGTAAAGCTTAAATAAGCTTAAAACTTATGACTTGGCAGTCATCAACTAAATTCATAACAACCAACAACTAAATATTAATTTTGCACTGTTATTAAATGCAGATAGTTTTTTAAACACATTTTCTTTAAGCTCCTAAAGTCAAAACATGAAACCTTACCAAAATTTGAATTAAACAACATTGAAAGTTAGATTTTCAAACTCAACCAAAGGCACGAGTCTGGTCATCGAACAAAGTGGTACCAACATAAGAAAGACATGGCTGGAATGAAATCAAGCGTTCCAGTAACTTCAAACTCTTGATGATCCAGTGTTAAAACAGTCAAGACAATAGTAGTCTTTACACTAGAGCCTAAATAAGCTAAGAAATATTTCAAGAAAAGTAAATTTTAATTACCTCAAGTAAAATAAAGCTTCACACACAACTGATTCTTTTTTACTTCAGGTTAACTTGAGGCCATTTTCCCACTGCATGCAACATAATTAAGATTGATTGACATGTTTCGCCTTTCTCAAAGCTCAAGAAACCGCGAGTAACGGCAAGTCAGATAAGTCGGTCATAAGAATGGTTTTTAAGTCGCTTGAAACTTTCTTGAATCGTTTCAACTTTCCAACTTTAAAGAGATGCATTTGAAGTAAAGTTACACGAGATTTTACTTAGGCCTTCACACACGAATTTTTGGCTAAGTAAAACTTAGCAGTTCTTAAGTCTTACTTAACAGCCTAGTGTAAAGACAACCAATGTAAAGCCTTGTTTACTTTAATATTTCCATTTCAGCTAAATTAAGTTCTCGAAGAATACAAAAAAATTCGGTTGCATTACTTCTTTTCCGCCTAATCATCAAAATTTTGTACGCACTGATTCCAGCCATGGTGCCGTTCGGTTCTGGGTGTGCACCTCTGAGAATATTAAACTCCGCGAATAACACCAGAAACCATCTAGTTTAAAATAAGTCATAGCGGATATCCTCTGTCATGTACAATAATACGTCGTAATAATCAATATGACGTTTTTGTGGAAACAATTAAAGTAAGCTTAAGATTATTGCGCGTTCAAAAACTTCCGACTCCTTATTTTCGTATAATTAAGGCTCAAAGTTCGATTTCCGAACTCAAACGAACTAAACCTAACCATGACTGTTCGATTTTGTTCGATATAATTCGATTTGGTTCTATTTCCTTCGGGCATCGAACTCAACTGAACACAACTGAAATGCATCGAACGAGTTCGATGGATTTTTTGTTCGGTGTACTGGTAAGTAAAGCTTACATGCACAATTTTATACAATGCGTTTCCCTTAAGAGGTTCATTTAGCTCATGCAGTAGTAAGATTATAACTTAATTTGTCTTTTTGTTTAATGTTTGAAAGCAGAAGTAGTAAATACTTGTACTTACCAAGCCAAATTTTGTCACATTCTTCTTGATTAACTTCCTTGTCTCGACAATACACTATTCAAATATGGCGGCCAAAATTTACCGCCACAAACCGCCAACCGTTTCAGGGCGGAAAAACGTAATGAGCATGCGTGAACTTTTTTGCCCAGATCCCCTGGCCGGGTTTGAAAAAATGGCGGGATTTCAAATATTTTATTGCCTAAAAATAAGATGTTTCCACTCATAACCTGGAAAGAACAGGCAATTTGTCTTCAAAAGTTGCAAGCTGTGGTTATAACCTTGTTGTTACTTAATTTTCTCGAAGAATACCTCATAGTAAAACGGACTTTAACGACATCAATTTCCTTGCGTTGTACTGGAAATGTGCATGCGTAGGTCCGATTTTTTTCAAGATGCATTCACAAAATGTGTTCATATAAGGAAGTTCCTGGATATATAAGGTCCGGAGCTCCACTGTGGACACAAAAACAACATATCTTTGGACAGTGATTTGCCCAAAAAAATTAATGCTTGCCCACAATGTGTTTGAAGGCACTGAACTTGTCGCACTCGAGCTGATATTTTAAAACCCTCGCTCGATCGGACACTCGTAGTTTCGCAGATAACTAAAATATAAACAAAATGCTCAATGTAGAAGTTATTGCGTTGATATGCGGGCAGAAAAAAGGTCAATCTTAATCTAGTAAAGTCTTCCCAAAAATCGGTTTCAAAGCAACCATAGTTCTTTAAACTTGCTCGTTTCGCGCAGATATATAAATTTTGCTTTGTGTTGTCAAGGTAAGCACGTATAACATCTGTCAAAAACCTACGCGTAAGTAGGATTTCGTTCAAACAAAGTTAAAGTTGCATTATTTCAAAAACTTCTTGCTGACAATGAAGAACAACCTACCTAAAGATCTTAAAAGCAAAAGATCAGTTGCAAATTGGCAGCCAAGCCATGATTCACCATTTAGCTATTTTCAAAAAGCTTAACTGGTCTATGCGAGGGTCTTCGTTTACTACAAAAAGCAAATTAAATTAACTCAGCCGATCATTAGAAAATACAGAAAATTACACATAAGGGTTTGTTTTGCTCACCTCAGTCAAATCCAGCTGAAGCAACTGTTTACGGAAAAAGAGTCAATTGTTTTGAAGTCACTGCCAGCAGTTGTCGTTCTCTACTTCACAGCGAGTGAAAAGGATAATTTGCGTACAGAAAGATATTCTTATAAAGAACAGAAACTTTCACAGTGTACTGGAAAACAAAACTATGTAATGAAAAATGTAAAAAAACTCTGACTATTATTACTTGAGCATCAGAAAAATGATCTTGAGTAAGCTTGCTGGCCTTCTTGGCTTCTATTTCAGAGAAAGTTTAATAACCGCACAAGTTTGTTCACTCTGATGCGTTATAACAGCAAAATAGTTCTTTGATTGAAGACAAAGATAAAGCTGGTTCTGCGAAGGTAATAAATCTGGGCATGTAAAAAAGTAATCGTAACTACTAATAACAGAATAGAAGCGGGTTTTAATTCAACCCGGCGAAATCAACTCATAAATTAATCGAATGCACAATCAGAAAAAATACTCGCCTCTTTAGAAATGTTCAAAACCTTTTATTCCACCTCAGACTGACGGATGATCCGTTTTTCCTTTAACATTGGTTGCTCTGAATCCAAAGTAATTTTCAAGCGACGAAAAAAAAGCAAACTTGTCAAATAAAAATGCTTTACAGGTAGCCAACATTCGTACCTCGTGCATTTCACTCGAAGAACTCCAGCAACAAACAAACACAGTCAACACACAGAAAATTCGCGCCTTGAGCCTGCGACAAGGGATGCGCAGAAGCTTGCGCAGAACGTTTTTCCGCCCTGAAGCCAACCGCCGCACCATACCACAGCCTCGTCCCCAGGGTCTTCTCGTTTTCCAAATAAGGAGGCGAGGGAGCACAGCAGAATCAGGTGACTGATTTCTGCAGGGATACCAACACAAAATGGAAAAGCAGACCTTAATCCCCCCCGAACTCAAGGATGAAGCCGCGCAAAAGCCAAAACGCGCCATTTTCTCACCCTTGATTTGTGGGAAGGGTAGGGGGTGCAAATTTTCCATCTATTTTGTCCTAGGTTGAAGCTCTCCGAGGCGCTTTGGGGCCAACTTTGGGGCGAGGCGGGAAAAGGAAACGAAGGAGAGCTTGCCACTACGTCTCTGGAATTTGAATTCCCCCTCAAATAGAGAGGAGAAGTCGTTACGTCACGTTGCCATGATAGCTAAATTTCTGGAAGACAACAAAACGAAAACGCCACTTAAAAAGTGAACTCGCACTGTTTCAAAGTTCATTGATCTTATTCAGTTTCATTAACTTGTAAAATCTTGGCGAAATTGTCTGGGGTTGAATCCGAAAGGACAGTATCTGAGTTGAGAAAAAGAAAAAGGAAATTCTTGTGCTGTGTTCACTAGCCTGCGTAGCTGGCGGTATTGTGTAGTAGTTGAGTGAGATTTGGCCGTCACGAGCGGCGTAAGCCGCGAGAAATAGGAATTTCAAACGCCTCGTCCCCACTCCCTTTTTCAGATCACGGCTCCGCCGCGAAATCTTAAATTGTTCACCGAGACAATACCGCCAGCCACACAGGCTATGTGTTCACCAGCTCCATAAAGCAGGTTAGAGAAATTAGGAAGTTTCAAGTCGCAGACTAGGGACGGTTAGGAGAGAGCCCTGGGAACTAGCTTAGTCTCGTGTAACATCGCCGAGCCAGGCAAAAGGAATACGGCAGAATGATATAGCTCTTATTTTGCTCTTCAATTACAGTCCCAGACATCACCTGTAACGTGTTGGAACAATTGTGGTTTAACTGTCCAATGAAATGTTTAAAGCTAAGGAGCAATTACAGAGGCTGTAAATCCCTTGCTGTAATCACTATAATCACAATGGAAAGCAGGAAGAAACTGAACACCTTTCTTTTCACTTTAATTTATTTTATAAGAACGATACGCCAAGGTTAATACGTTTGTTTCTCAGTTTTTTTGGCGAATAGGTTGGAAGAACTTTAAAAAAGCTTGTAAATCATTCGTCTTTGGTTCCTAATTCACCGTTTTTTTGCGTATTAACCCCCCCACTGAACCAAACATTCCCCAGAAACGATTTAAAAACGCAGGAAATGACTTCAGTACATCAATGCATCGTCGCTCTTAAAGCCTTTGTATGCTTTTCGGAATCCGTTCAATTTAAAAGTTTTAAACGGAAATATTTAACAGCCAACTATACTATTTCATACTATTTTCCTCCCTGCCCCAGTTGTGTACTACAAGCTGTAAACTGGAAGAAAAAAATAACTGATCTGCATTTAGTGAAAGTTTGGTTAGATACCCGTTATTACAATTGACATGTTATTAATGAAATAGGAGATTGGAATTGACATTAGATTTCTCTCTCGCTAAAACTTACAGTGCAATTCTTAGTTGTAATCACTTGACAAGACGGCCATTTCGGTTGACAAAACAATAGACGAATCCTTGCTGACGTCACTGTTTTCATTTTTACTCGTTAACATAAAAATTTAGCCCATAGGGGGCGTCACCTTATGCAAAAATGAAATTCAAGAGTTGAAAGAGTTGGTTAATTTGAGCAATTTGAGCAATCTTCAGCTCTTTGCAAGCAATAGCAAAGAAAATAGCCTTCGAAAGCTGCGAAATTGCCGGGTGGCAAAAATGCTAATGAGCCCATACATTCTTTGTAAAGTTTCGAGTTTTTCAAAGTTAACTTATCCGAAACTATTTATTTAAACCGGCTCAAATTTTCACGGATAACTGTAATTGTTATGCTCTTTCGATATTCAGAGAGTTTATTTTAATAGCTTGATCAGAGAATGAAATGCATATGCTAGTGAGAGGAAAAATGTAAACAAAAGTTTCTTCACAGAATTTACATGAAGCATGACCACAGTGACATCAGTCAGCTGAAAACCAGCAGTTGCTTATCAACTTAGAAAGTCGTCTTTTCGCTGTCCAATCTGGCACGAGGGAGGCTCACTCTTGAAGCGTCCATAATAATCAAGTCCATGTAATCTTGGTATTCCAAGTTTAGATTGCTGTTCGATTCTCTTCCATTTCTGCTTTCGGGGAAGAAATGATTCCAGTTTGTAGCACTGTTTAGTGACCGTCCTGACATAGCGTGGGAGTTTGATATCACCTCACCGTTTCGGTAGTGGACGTCATATTCTCGAGCCCTTAAAATCACAAATGAACATTTTTAGTATACAAATATAATAACACCAACCTGCGCATGGCCTATCGTCAGCGTATCATGGTTGAAGTAACTTTTTTTACCCAATGTAAAGAAATCAAATTTGGGAAACCATGGGATTGGTTGGGATATTCAGAAAGAACAAGGTGGAAAAAACCCCGTGCTAAAAATCGGGCTGTTAGTGCAATTACTGGTAGGGAGATATTAAGCACCGTTAATATACTCTGATTAGTTCGTACAATCCTTCTGAAATTGCGGTACGATACAGGCGTCATAAGGACTAATCAGAACTATAACAAGATTCTCAAATCTGATTGGCTATCAACTGTCCAGATTTCAGCACCAAAAGAACAGTGTCATAGGACAGCAGGCGTCACGCCCAAGTAATTAAGATTATCTCGCACCCAGACCTCTTGTTGTTACTTCACAACTAGTGAAATCCCTACTCTTTCATTTTCCTGAAGCCTGAAAAAGGCCGGGTACCCCTTTCGGTTGGGACCTCACCGTATAGGCCATTATAGGAAATACCCCCCCCCCCCCTCCTCTATGGGCTGTTACTTTTCAGTATTCAAAAGATACAAGTTAATGGCCACCTTGAAAAACAAAATGTGTTACTTACCTCAATATTTTCTTTAATCTGATGACAGCGATGGAGATAATCAGTATTACAACGAACAGGAATAACACAGCAAAGCACAGAAATCCTATGGCCACATACAGAACTGTGGAGATAGGAAAGAAACAATTAGAGTCACCAACAATACAAACCATAATTACAACTAAAACAAGCACCCCCTCAATGCATCGATCCTGGGTTTAAGTCCTGTGTCGAGGCCACATGTGGGATGTGCTAGTCAGTGAAAGGGCTCTCCTGCAGTCAGGAATGGGACGAAGAGAAAGCTAGAAAGGGCACGCAGGGGAGTCCCGTGGGAATAGCAAATAATAGCTGGAGAGGCGTTCCAAACTTTGATCACCATAATGACAATGGATCATGACAGTGTCGTTTCTTTTCTTCATGAATTTGCTTCGCTGGAGTAACTTTGATTTTGCCTGGTCGTATCTTACTTTCTGTAATCCCATGGGTTATTAATTAAATCTTTCTTTGGTGCTCACAAAAAGGTGAAAGATGCGGAAAGCGGTTTATAAGAATTAAAACTGAGAAAAAACACGCCTCGCTGAGCAACAGAACAAAACTAAGGTTAAGCCAATTTGAACCCCAGTGCATGAGCCATACTTAGGTCTGAGTCTGAGTATGAATTTTACAATTCGATTCAGTTTCTATTTTAAACAAGGGACTTGTTTATTGTCATTTGCGCTTTGGTGAATAGCTCTAAACTTGAATCAGCGAGAGTGTACTGTTTGATTCGACGTAATCCGACTTATTTTTATCTTATCATCTGTTATGCGCGTATGAAAATTATTTCTATATGCGCAATATAAGTTTTTTTAATATATATTTATTATTGGGGTATTAAATTTTGGAGTCATGTCCGAGATGTAGGTTCTGAGGTTGAAGGATGATGCTTCGTGCACACATCCATCAAAAAATGTCCTTGGGTTACCCTCCAGGGGTTTCGTATTGTCTTAGTAATATCATATCCAGCAACGCTCAAACGGGATATAATTGCTACTGTTTACGACTTACGGAGGTCGTCATCATCAAATAGATCATCCAAGACGTCGCCACTTGCTAATTCTAAAAGGCAGACAAAAACATGTTATCTGTCAGTGCAGGCAAATAAACTCATCAGTAAATTTACAGTTCTCTACGAGAGTTTAAAGACTTGGCAGTTCCTTTCTAATCACTTTATTATTTTTGATTAATATTGCCACTTTTTTAAAGTGCGGATCTCTCAAACAATATGCCTTATATTTACCAAATCAGCCACTAGCACTTTTCGCGCGTTTTGATTGGCTTCCGTAATTGGGAATATCCTTGGCTATTGAGTTTGCGACCGGAGCCAAGATGGCGTCTCGCTTCGAGGCATTTTCGGAAGACGAAATTTGAGCGATAAATGAAGCAGTCGTACAAACAAATACCAAGAAAGCAACTATCTTTGGCTTGTCGGTGTTTACTGGTAGGTAGAAAATTATTTTCGTGCTGAATTTGCAACAAAATTGTAAAAATGCACTTGACAAAATCCCCGGAATGTTTGTAAATTGTCAATAAAGTTCCTACCAAGTAACGTTTTTAATTTACAAAAAGAAACTCTTTTCATTTTTTATCTAACTGATTTGGTAAATACTAAAACAACTATCCCCCTCAGGGTCTGTGAACAGTGCTAGGTATATGCCTCAACGCTTCCCGTCTTATTATGTATCCACTATTAGTAAAATCCAATCAATGTTGCGTTCTGATTGGTTGAGCCACTACTAGGCTATATGTTATAGCCCACTAGTAGCGAAAGGCGCCGGCTTTGAAAACCAAAACAATGGCGGCTGAATCGCGTTTTGCTAGCTAAAGTTGTTTTGTCTCGATATTTTTGACCAACTAGTTGGATTTTACGAAAACAATTATTCCTCTCAAGCTCATGGCCTCTGAGTCAATACCCCATTCGGCCTTCGGCCTCATGGGCTATTGACTCAGAGCCCTTTCTGCCTCGAGGAATAATCGTTAACTGTTCAACTCAGTCCCCTTCGGTGGATAGTTGTATATGATTCAGCAAAAGCTGAGGGATTTACCACTCGCGCTGTAAAAAAAGGATCTGTTGTGGCCCTACAGTGCCAATTTGGCCGAGGGGAACTCAAAGACTACTGGATATTCACACCAGAACATGTAGCTTTTTTCGCGCCGGCGCAAAAGCTATCCGGTAGTATAGTATGAACACCTATTCGATATGTGACTCTCCAGTTTCGAGATCAGCGCGGCACTGCTTCGCTCCCTTAACTGAATATACTGCGCCGAAATCACCGTTCTTTATATGTGTGAACAGAAGCCCTACCCGGTATGGTTTTCACGCCGGCGCAAAAGCTATCCGGTAGTATAGTATGAACACCTAGTCGATATGTGACTCTCCAGTTTGGAGATCGGCGCAGCACAGCTTCGCTCCCTTAACTGAATATACTGCGCTGAAATCACCGTTCTTATGTGCGAACAGAAGCCCTGTGATCCGGTATGGTTTTCGCGCCGGCGCAAAAGCTATCCGGTAGTATAGTATGAACACCTATCCGATATGTGACTCTCCAGTTTGGAGATCGGCGCGGCACAGCTTCGCTCTGTTACAGAAATCGCACCGTAATCACCGTTCTTATGTGTGAACAGAAGCCCTATGCGGTATGATTTTCGTGCATGCGCAAAAGCTATCCGGTATCTTGTGAACAACAGCCAAAGTCTGATATAAAGCGTTTTCACCCATCTATGCAAATTTATTAGAACGAAAGAAAGTTTTACATAAGAAAAAGGGTCAACTCCCACAGAATTGGTTTGGAACCCCAACATGTCCAACATTTGGAACAGCAACATGGCAGACGGGACTTTATGTGAAAACGCTTTGTAGCCTCTAGTGCAATCGTGAGCTCGATGTGGAATGTAAATATTTTTAGTATATATACGTTTTTCCTTTTCTATTAATGAACCAATGATAATAGAGATGTTAGCGCTTTATAGGTAAGTTAATAATTCTAAATAAAAATGATAATAATAATAATTAACATTGTTCTTATTACTACTTATCCGCGCGATGGTTACCGCGATGGTTACATCTTCTTTAACTTAAAAACATGAATGATGAGAAAGCCTAAATTCATTATTTTTAACCGTTTTTATTGGTTTGCTGGCCAACTAAGATCACGTACTTCTCACAATGTAATGTACCTCACTTTAACTTGATCTTGGCGAACGAATTAAAGACAAAACAAACAACGACATCAACAACAAAACAAAACGAGGGAGACCTAGCGCCTCGCTCATCACTTGTAAACCCAACTGGTCAAGATGCAAAACCTTTCTCCTTCTCCCTACCCCCTCTCCCCATCTACCTCCTACCCTCTCTTCTCACCCCATGTCACCTTGTCTACGCAAGTATCACATTCCTTTAGTTTCCCTTCTCTCCCTTACCCACCCCTCTCCCCAGAGATCTTCCTCCCGTTCTCTTTCTCCACGCTCCGTGTCACTTCTCGTCTACACCAGTGTATCAGTCAAATTCCTTCACTGAACTCCAAGGGGTGGGGGAAGGGGGTCTCCCATATAAAAGTAACGAGGTGCTCTTCGTCTCGCTTAAAGTGCAAACGAAGCCTCATATAGGGTTTTCAGAACGGAAAACCAATATTTTTTGCCTTTAAATGTATTGCTTATGGTTTTGCACAAATAAAATATCAAACACCTGATACTGTGTGTTGGAGAGTGTCAAATAAGGCCAGAGCCACGTCCTGATAAGTCCCCATGAGGGGTTTAAAATTCACATTTATCGTTCCAGATACGCTGATGTTGTCTGCCGGGCAGATTTTTCTTGTAGATTGCGTGAAATATAGCAAATAAGGTGAAAGCCTTGAAATTTACTGTATTCGTGTATCCTCTGGCTAAGGTCAAAACAGAAAACAATGATGATAAGATTCAGGTTTTTTTTTACCACAAATGTTTTGCTCCCAAGTTATGATCTATTTGAATCACATATGTCCGTCTTGGATGTTTTTATTAATTAATTAAGTAATCTATTCATTATTCATTCTTTTGTTTGTTTAACCTTTCTCGGGGATGTTAACGTTTACAGAGAATTCGATTTTAAATGCGATCCATGTTTGTAAGAATGACCGATTAATAAACAGCACTAGAAAGTTTTTTTTTAGGAGGCTTTCAAAATGGACAGAGTTTGTTGTATTCAAATCTTAGAGTTCTAAAGTGTGACGTCATAAAAACTAAATTTGTGAAATTATGGGATTTGTCAGTATATTCTGAAAGAACAACATCCAAGAGGCCTACTTGCTAAAACTAGCATTGTGGGGCAAATTGTCTCTGAGAAATTAGCCCAGTTGTGCTCTGACGACTCCATACAAATCCCTCTAAATTTGACTTGGGTCTAGACCCAGACCCAAGTCAAATTTAAAAGACAAATCCTATAAATTCACCAATTTAATCATTGTTTTTATGACGTCACACTCTGGAACCTATTGTTGGCTCGTATCGCCCCATGTAAGGAAATCCATGACAGTCTTGGATTCTGGATTCTACGATGTGGATTCCGGATTCCAGGTACTGGGTTCCAGTATTTGTCAGTAGAACTTGGATTCTGGATTTCAATCGTTAGTGGGATTCTGGAATAATTGAGCTGTATTCCGGATTCCAAAACCCAGGATTCCTGAATTTCCCAGATTCCGGAATCTAGATTCCCTTACATGGTGCGACTCATAACCCTTAAGCAAGTCGTTGCTCCAAAGAGAATCAAAACCCAGACATTGTTTCTCTAACACGTAGTAAACGTAAAATTAATATCTGACAAATAAAAAGTAAAGAATTCATAGACAATGAATTCTAAATTTTTCCTGATTGAATTTTCTAGAGTTTTGCCGCATCACCCATGACGACAAACTGTTTTTATGTGTATTGTTGCTGTTTATAATGGATAATTGTTATTTCTTGCGTCATGTAGCATGCTTGAATTGTCACAAAACGACAACAAACAACATTTAGTCATTTTGGTCGTTTCAACTTTGTAAAATTTTCAGCCAATTCTTTGCCACTGCCAAATAAATTTAGAACTGTATTGAGCCATTCCTGCTATAAAAATGAGTAATTCCCTAAACCTTTCAACAAGAATCATTCTCAGGCATTAGAAAGATTAATATTCATCACAACTATATGTAATTTTAATGAATAGATTCAAAGAACGGTCAACTCTTGACAAGCGAGGTCAACATTTAACATCTTGAACGTTCTTAAAAAAGAGTTTACAAGTTTTAAAATGTGTATTCAGCTATGATTTTACTGCCATAAGACAATGCTTAAATCGATTTACCGCTATATCTAGATAACATATTCCACTTACCTGCCAACATCAAGACGACCAAAATCTTTAAACGAAAAGTATATTTGCACTCAGTCATGGCTTCAGTATACGTTGGGACAGTCTTTCAAATAAGATGCTCTGTCGTCCCAAATGAAGTCCTAGTTCTCCGATTGCCTTTGTAGGAAGATGACTCAAGATTTTCAAAGTTGTATTCAAGCCAAGAAGTTGAACTTGCTTCTCTGTGCGATATTTGTGTTGTGAAAAAATTCACATGCTTTCGTTTTTACGAAATCATTAGCTTTTCAATCGCATTTACTCAGTCAAAACTTGGGTTACCGTCCTTGGACTTAGTTCGATCACCGTCCTATTTTTGCTCAAAAACGTCGGCTTAACTCTTTTAAACCAAAGAAAAGCTGCTAAACATGGATACTTGTTCGCGGAACGGAGCGGCGAATATAAAGCAACCCACAAAAACTTTGTTCAAGCGTATCATTAATTACTATAATAATGTATTCTATATTCGCACTTTTTTCGTTCTGTGACAATATAAAGCGGGATTGTATACCAATGTCTGGCGAATAACAGGCATATTTGCAAATGAAAAGATTTTTCACAAGTTTTAAAAAGGCTGAGAAGAAACATTTAAAAGAAAAGGATCCAATTATATCGATGATGTCGTAAAAGCAATTTGCTTTGTGCACACCACGTGCTGATGTAGGCTGACTATGCTTATATTGCCTAATACATGCAGACGTACAACAAAATTAGTTCTTCAAACTTTTTGTTTTGATCCCCCCTCAATCTTTTCCGTCTTCGTAGAGATTATTATGATTACTCCGCAAATAACTGAAAAAAAAAAGTAGTGTTAAATTCTACATGCCATTTGTGAAACCAAATTTTCGGGAAACATAAATTCAATTATTCTTTTTCTTACGAAAGATCGGATTGCGCGTAGTCTCGTCATACGTCTCTAACCCCTAACCCGTGGGGGGTAGAGACGTGTGACATTTCAGACTAGACTGCATACGGCTTAGGGGAAGGGTAGGGATTTAGTTCTGGAAGCAATGTAAGCTAAGCTCTGATTTATTCAAATCTTTATTACCAGATGCTACCACCTCTAGCTTTTTCTATTTATTATAAACGTTACATTATGCAGAAGCTAGCTCAGCTATTCCATACACACTTCTCATGAAAGCCATTTTTTCAGCACAGCTTTTTGCTCTCTTGCCTTATTATAACAAATAATTTGTAACTTATCAAATCTAAAAGAGCTGAATGTTTCGATTATAATAGTACTCCTTTTCATGTGAGTTCACCCCTAATTATCTAAAACAAGACTCAAACATTGTTTAGGAGGAATTCTAAAAAATTCTAACCAAAACAAATACAGAAAAAAGACCAGAAAGCCTCGGAGTCATGTTACAATTTAACATATCGAATGTGGGCTATTAGACAATATTTATAATGTTATTTGTAGGGGTGTTAATGGACTGTAATGCAGACCATGTTCTATTATTTTACAACACCAGTAGTTAAATTTGCGTCTTCTTGTTTCGTTTCCTCACTTTTCCGCACTGGAAACTTGGTAAATTTGAACTGAATGTCTCCACCCTTCTTTGGATTCTGTAATCAAAAATGGGTAAATTGGTAACGATATTCAGCGTAAACTTCTATAAAGAAGCGGCTCTCTATTTAGGTAGACTAGGTAGGTACTACTGTAGGTAGATTATTGTAAGGACAAAACCTGTATTAAATGGCCACTTTCCCTAACCCAAACGTAATCGCTTTGTAATTGAGAGGGTTCGAATCTATACTTCAAGACCAAATGCATCGCCTTGTCTTCAAGGCCCAAATAAACAGCTTTGGTATTTATAAATTAGTGGATAGCAATTTTCGCGCGTTTTGATTGGCTTCCGTAATAAGAAACATCCTTGGCTATTCACTGTTTTGGAACCGGCGTCCGGCAACCTGTCGTCCCGTTTCGCGACAGTTAAGGAAGACACTGCTTTTTGAGGAATGTCTGCAAGAGAAAAACATCCTTTCATGTTCTGAAATTGCCGAAAAATAGGCAAATATTTTAAAATGGGATTTACTTGGAGGTCAGGATGCTGCTAAGGCCTTCGAAATATTTTGAATAAATGATAAAACAATTATTGATTTCTGCTTTCATACGGCCAAGAATTAGGCAGATTTCGAGTGGACTTGTCCATTTGGTTTCCCGCCTCGGTGGATAACAACCTCCTCGTGCTTCATAATTGTTCATATCATACTCAGCCTTGTTCAATAATCGTTTATTATCTACCAATTTCAGCCGTCTTCCCACGACAAAGGCGTCGTTTTTTCGTGAGTGTGGGACTCTACAACGCCCAGGTTACCGAAGGGAATTATACTCAAATTTTCAGAACAGAATACAAACCATTTTTGTAGCGGAGCCAGGAAGAATCGTTTCTTCATGTTCAGCCACCTTTCTGACATCTACGCCAGCGTTAGTCCCAGAGAATGAAGTACTGGAATTCAAATTGACTTCGTACACGGCGCGACTGTGACTAATCCTAAAAAACATAGGTATATACCATCATTTCAAGCAAGGGTGCCCCTAATATCTGTCTTAAAAGCCGGGGGCAAGAACAATAACAGTCAAAACCCGCTTTACGGAAACCTACTTAATAACAACGCTTCATTATTACGGAAAGTTAACTCTGTTCCTGGGGAAAGAAAGCCCTTACAATTTCACACTCCAGAAACTAATAATATAGGGAGATTGGGTATAAGCGTTTTGGCGCAACGAGTTCCGGGATCGTTTGGGTGGACAAGCGTTACTTATGATCGGTTAATGGTTGCCTTGGATACTATCCACCAACCAAAAATAACGCTTGTCCACCCATCCCAGAAATCGTTGCACCGAAAACTTGTACCCATTCCCCTCATAGTTTCTGGTGTGGGGATTTTCTCTCAATTGTACCCGCTTAATAGGGAGATCCCGTTAAAACGGGCACTTTCTATATGGCCTTCTCAGTGTCTGTATTTAACGGGGTTTGAATGTAATTCATACGCCTGTTAGCAGTCCCTGCTGGGATTGTTACACGGGTGAGGTGGTTCGGTGTTTTTACGATCCCGCCACGCACCAGGACACAAGTGGAGTCACGGAGTAGCATACAAGGAAGGACGAGGATAGCAATGATCGTCAAGAAATTAGAATTTAACCGTAAGGGTATGAATGCTGGCATGGCTCAACTAAGAGAAAAGAAAAAAAATACAATAAAACAGAGCCAAATAATTATAGAGCCCTAGTAAAATTCTAGTTGATGAAGGCAGTGCCTTTCCCTCTTTCTCTCTTTCTTCTGTTTTCCCCATTCTTGAGGCTTTCCTTATAAAGCCTTTTAAGCAATTAACAACTGCAAGTGTTAAAATACTGGCGTTACACCCTGAACCCCCTATTATAATAAGTGATTTTAGAATTTCCAATATACAATAAGGTCTCTCCCACTTTCCATTGGAAAAACCCTAAGGACGCAGTTTGACTGAACGCAAACGGCCTTTTACCGCTGAGAACAGGTATCCCAAGCAAAAAAGTCCTACTGCAGGTAGTGCCTTTCGAACCCTTGCAAGTGTTTATGTCGGTATTGTACACATACTCTGTGATATTGCTTTAAAATAACAATCGGTTGCACCCACAGATTGTGTGGGTTCCCTGTGGTTATTCGCTTGCACAAAGGTACTTTTATGTGAGACTTACTTTTTCATTATTTTGTAGTTTAAGCTGGAGATTACACCTCTGGTGACTTCAAACCTTAGGCTTGTTGACTGTAGTTACCTAGAACAGATGTCTCCTCGTCTTGGCCAGCAAATACGTACCTGCACAAACTAGGTCTAACTTTGGTTTCTGTGGTAAATGGATGAAATTACGAATTGTTACCTTTCGAATGACCGCTCCGTAACTGAGTAGTAATGTCCTGTGGTACTGATTAATATATGTTTAAGATGTGGTTCTCAGTTTTAATACTTTCGTGTGAACATTCAAATGAGGACCTCAAATGAAGAGCACTGCTTTCCAGATGAAATCTATTAACATGTGACCATTCAAATGAAAGCCACCGAGCACTACTCCAGTCGTACTGTTTGTTATGCTGTACAAGTTGGTTCGAGATTTTGAGTCTGTGGATGAACTCTTTAAGTGTGACTTGTAGTCAAGTGAAAGTCTCTGATCGGTATTTTTCTTTATTACTCAGTGCTGTGGGTGGAGGTTCGAACGTCTGGGTTCTTTATGAAATCACGGTGCAATTCAAAAGCTTCTCCCATTCAAGTCCACTGTTTCAATACGCCTCGTTGTCGCGGCTTCACGTACTATAAGGAGCCATGCATACAATACACATGGTACAACAGGAACATGAATTCAATCATGAACAGATTTACGTATTAATCTGCTTAACGGCCTCACACGTTAAAGGTACTTCTATTTGTCAGGCGGTCTGTTAGAGGGGCAGAAGCTTATAGACCTCTGAATTAAGGGAATACGTTGCGGAGAAGCTAAGACTTGCAATATCGACTCATCTCTTCAGTGGATTAATTTGAATTCCTGGGTAGTTGATCCCGTGACAGCGAATACTGAGGAGTTCAATCCAAAGCTACAGCTTAGTAAAGCCGAAATAATTATTGTAGGTTGCTTTAAGTTAAGCTACGTTGTCGGAGACTGTCATAGGTATAAACTGACCTTGAAGCTTGATTAATCTGTTAAACAACGCACTTTCGTTTGCTTCTGTCTACGAACAGTGCCATCCATTAGGGAAAGAATGAGAATCCTTTGCTTGTCAAATTGCTTTATTATTATTCACATAAAAGATTTGTTTGCACTGGTTTCCAATGTTTGAACAAGCGAAAAAACGCAATGATTTATGTTAAACAGGCTGGAGCGCGTGATTTTCAAATGTCTGCAAGCCCCTTTTTCAGAACTACAGGCTAAGGGTAAGAGCTAAACCGACTGCGCGATCGCAGGTATAGCAAAACTTGAGATGATTTTTAGGCTACGCACACGGTCCTCTTTCCGTCTTTCTTGGGAAAGTGTCAAAATATTCATTTCAAACAACGGGCAGCGAAAAATTGCAAATTGTTTTTAAACCGTGCGGCAAAACGAGTTGCATAGCGATGTTACACGTTTTACCATTCACAAATACAACCTGTCTCGCAGCAAATCAGGTTGCTGCAGATTACTTTGGAAACTTGTTGTAGGAAATAGAGAGTAGTACCAGTTCTTGAGGGGACCGAAAAGCGTGTAACATCGCCTTTAATTTCAACTCGTTTTGCAGCGATGTTGCAAAACAAGTTGCACGGTTTTGTTGGCCGCTTTGCCATAGCTTTCTTTGACTACTGGTGTGAGACTCTGAGTAATGGCTCTGTCAATTCCAAGCGTGCCCTTCGTTCCCCCCCGGGTATTTGTCATTTTGTTTTGGAAAAGCTGCAAATGCCTCACGGTAGGACCTGGCATTCAAACAAAAACCTCACGGTTTGGGGCTTAAAAACGTGTGCAAACGCCCCACCCCAGGACAACACCAAAATAATAGGCCACTTCCGGGTTCCAAAAACCCTCACTTTCAAAATGAGGCTAGGTGCACAACCTTTCTTGTGAAAACGAGTTTTATTTGCATGAGAATGAAAAATGATTTCCATATCAAAGGCTGAGCACCTACCCTCGTTTTGAGACAGAGGCACGGCGGAACTCAGAAATGGCCTACTATTGCATTTTTGACACCAAAATGGTGTTCTATTCTTAAGGCGATCACAAGTTATTTTGATGTGAAAGGTATCCACTCAGCCTTAGTTTGAAAGTGAAAGTTTTTAACTTCGCTCCCAGGACTTTTTGCATGCCCTGTTGGGGACGAGGCTTTGAGGGTTTTCCAGGAACTAGGACAATTCGTCTATTGATTTTCCAAAACGTTCAAAGAATGATAGGAGATCGCATTCAACCTTGATTAAATTTTTTGTAGCTCTTCCGTTGCACTTTTTAAAAAGCCTTAAAGTGACTCCTTGTTCGGAGACGCTTCGCCGTAATTCTGTGTTAATACTTTTGTTTTAAAATTCCACAGTGAACTCAGTTTCTTGTTGTTGTCGTTTTTTATCGCTCAGCACCTAATTTCGTAATCGTTGGTTTTCTTTTCTTAATTGGTTATCTTCCTGTCAGCTTGTTAACCTTATTTTGAAGTTGGTTCATTGTGGATAAACAAAACTTACGTCCACTCGGCTCGGTTAATAATCATGACTCTGTGACTCTTACGTGAACAAGATTAGGGGAGGTTGTTTTTTAGAATGAGAAAACAGGAAAAAAAGAGACCACATGTACGTACGAACACGGACGAAAAATATGGTGCGATATAAGCGGGTGAAAACTTGAGGTGATTTATAGGCTAACGCGCATGCTCAGCTTTCCGTCTCTGCTCTTTCAGGTCTTTCTTGGGAAAGACTTGAAACTTGTCAAAATTGTTTGACTACTGATTTGAGTAAATCGATGAGATCGAACCGTATAAAGAAGAATGCATCAGCTGTTTAGCTTTTACTTTAGGTGAGCGACGGCTGGAACCTTTTGTTACTGAGAGGAAGTACAGACTTGCTACAAGTCGACATCACGTGTTTCTTAGCGAGCAGAGCGAGTTTTTTCGGCCACAAAACAGCCATGCTTATGACGAAGTTGTCAGTTCGTCCCGAGCCATACTAAATCGGACGAAGGACTTTTTGGAAAGTCTAAGAGTTAGTAGTGTTTCGCGGGAATTTTCCAGCATCACGCCCAATAATGATAACTACATGGACGATAACAATGATTTATTCACAGCGTACTTTGTATCGAATGCATGGTTCTTCATCTGTTATTATCTACTAAGATTTTCAATCGCTCATTATCAGCTTAATAAGAAATTATAAGGAAAATGTAATAAGCCATTTTAATGTTGTGCACCTAGAACAGCCTTCAAAACCTCTTGGTCAAACCTTCCTGGTTTGATATGTAAACGATTAGACCACAGACTTGTTGACATGAGAATAACACGATTTGCACATGCGTGAAAAGGAAGGTTTGTAACAAAGCAAGATTTAAAGGCCAACGCACTAAGGGCACATCTGTAAAAAGGCTTATCGGACTATAGGTAGAAACAAAAATTCATAGTGAAAGCTTGCATTTAAAATTTATGGAAGGAATCCCATTTCTTGGGTATTATCCCTGAGAGGTACCAAAAATTCATTTGAGTTGACATTCTTGAAGGCCCCGTGATAGCTCTTAATGGGGTCTCTTAAATGTATGCAGTCTAAATGGTACCAACCCATAATTTTCAACAACTAAAAGGTACTAAACCACAACGTCGACAACCGACTCGCGCCCCGCTGGACGGATATGGTGATCACTGAATGACGTAAAATAAAAGATTAAAATACTTAGTCACTTATACGCTTTATCCTCTCTTGTCTCTAAACAGTAGCCATACCACAGTACAATACCTAATCAAACACAGTTTTCGCAACATGAGGGTACAGTACCCTTACATGGTAGAACTGTAAGTTCTGGTTGGAGAATCGAATGTTTTAAGTCAGAAGCTTCCGAAAATATATAGGCTGTCGTTTAAGAAGATGCTGTATTTCTACTCTTCTTTGTCTCTTCATCCAACTGGTTTGTATATACTTTATAACGTATTTTACTCCCCAAAAGTCAAATTTAACGGACAGTAATGTGTAAATGCATGGTTAGAACTCTCCTTAGGAACACAATGTGATACAAGTCTCTACAGTTTAAGCAACCACAACAAATAAAACGTTGCTTGGGAAGTTATACAGCTTTCAGCTGTAATTCTTTCAGATGAAAGAGTAACAAATTAGGGTATTCCCCTGCACATCTTGGACATCAGTTCTTTGAGATCAATACAAGCCCCTGTAAGATAAGGTGATAATTCTGGTGTCAGTAATAATCGTTCTGAGTGTAAGTTGTAATTGTCAATATATAGCAGTGTGAGATTTTTGTGTCGGTTTCCAATTCAACCAAAAGAAAAAAAATCAAATCTACCGCGAATAAAAAAAAAAGAAGTAAGCACGTACATAGAATTTTTTTTGTCAACCATTTAGTTCACATTAAGTCAAAAACTGTTCATTTGAAAATCGCACACGTGTTAGGCATCTTAGAGGAGGGGGATGGGAACTTAGGAAGTAAATCGTGCCAGCACATTTAAAACATGCCCTCTGCCACGATGTTTATTGCCGAAGTCACTAAAACGAACTAGTCTGAAAAGTTAAGTCGCAACTTGATAATTATATTCAACTCAATACGTTTACTTTGGCTTTTAAGTGAAGCTTGCGTTTTGCATTCTAAACCTGAGTGATTGAACGGTAGCCTGCAAGAATGCTCACTTTTGCGAGGTCGGGAAAAACCTTGAGGGCGGAGCCGTCAGCGCGCGACAAGAATGGCGCGCGGCCCCACCCACAAAATTTACCCGAACTCGTACAAGTGAGGCCGTTCCCAGGCTACCGTTCAATTACCTGAGGAGCTAAAGATAATCGAGCGCCAGGTGGTTACCCCCCGTAAGCTCAATGGAAACTTTTTCTGTTCCTGGGGTGTAATATTCATGGTTTATCCGTTTCACTCACCAGATCTGCTTTTGCCTGTCATTTGCATCCACAATGGTAAATTCAGTTCGGTTTGTACTCTCGTTTGGAACTTGGTTGGCGTTGTTATTATCAGTGGGAAAACTTGCAGTAAAACGACGCGTACGAGTTTGCTGGCAAAGAAGAAACACAGAGATTCAGTGTCTTGGTGGATGTGTTTAGTTACTGTAGTTAGCACTTGGACTGAAATAGCTCATGCTCACGAATTTGGTGTGCTAACAGTTAGCCTGCGTAGCAGGCGCTTGGAATAATTAAATGGGCGCCAGAAAGAACGGGACGCACAAGGGAGACACCTCACGCGCGCCCGTTCTTTCTGGTGCCTATTAAATCCTAGTTAACAGTTCATATACAGTTACTGCAAAATACTTCCGAAAGTACTTTATTCAATTGTCAATGTACTTAGCACGAAAGTGCTTATCAAGGACAGTTTTTCTCCCCTCTACGCCATAAAAACGCGTCTCAATGTCAATGCATTTAGCACGAAGTTACTAATTGAGGACATTCCTGGAGACAGGGCCGCCAATTTTTGGTGGCCATCCAAGGTAAGTAAAGATCTAGCCGTTTGCGGGGTGCTGGCAGTAACGAGTCTCCCTTAGTATTGGTCCCACAATCCCGAACCAAAACTTCTTGAAATCTCGTAATCCCGAGGGTTCTTTCGGGCATTCTAACTCGTACCCATACTTTCAATCCCGAATCGCGCCCCGTTTCGCTTTAAAATCCCGTATTCCGAAAAACCTATCGAGGACCCTCGTCCCGGGGATCGATTCCGAGACCTCGCGCTCTGCAGTCAAGGGCTTTACCGACTAAACTAGTCCTGCTACCATTTTTCTGCGTGGTCATACGAGCAGCATGAAGGTCTAACCGGTTGCAGGGTGAAGTCAGTTATGCGTATCAATCCGGTCCCAGGGATCAAGGCCACGATATCCCACTCGGCAGCACTCAGTAGTTCATCGCTCTACCACCTAATCTAACCCTGTTTCGTCTCAGGAGATTCGGTCATCTAATCTCCTACGTTTTATCATTAAAATGTTAGGGTGGGGAGTGATTAAAATAATTTCCAAGTTACACGCGGATGAGTGTAGCGAACACTGGGGTAATAACAGTGCATGTTTCCTCTGACCAGTTCTAAGGGTTTGTAGTCGTGCATGCAGGCCATGAAATACGCTACGGTCTCGCAGTCTTGCTAGGTCGTGTCAGAAGATAAGAAATAAAAAATTGATTAAAATATGAAAACAAAAAATAGCCTACAGTTCCGGCTTTCAGACTGTCTGGCATAAAATGGCACCAATACCTAATATTAAAGTCTTCCCAGTTCTTTATTTTCAAGAAATTACACTTTTTTCGAATTATGAGAAACTTTTTTTTGGTATTTTGAAAAACAGAAACAACAGACTGGCATAGAAATATATCATAAAGGCTCCAGGAGAGAGAAAAAGTCAAGAAATTCACATAGCATTTGCTGTGCGTTTTAAAATTCTTTTCGACTAAAGTTTTGATTACCGGCATATATGTTATGTCTTCTATCTCACTGATCCCTGACTCGTTCATGGAGACGTATGGATTAAACGCATGGTTTTTGTACGATCCAATGGGTGAATTCATTGATTCTACCCTGAAAATAAAAGCAATTTCACATTTTAAGACCATATACATTCTATTAGCCTGCAAAAAATTTATAAATAAATAAATAAATAAAACGCCTGTTATGCAGACTGTCATTTCATTTGATACATTTCTTTTCAGAAACATTTTTAATTTTCTCGTATCAAAAAGTCACGCAATGTGAGAACTTTGTGGGAAGAGAATGCTACAACGGATGCCATTATCACCATTATAGATGACGCCAAGTTTTTACAAAATTGATCCTACTCTGACTTGTTCTGACTGTTAGCCAGTAAAAAGTGTTTCCTCGAGTGCCAGTGGCTAAGTATTTGCTTTCAAACGTATCAAAGAATTATCTTAATAATGTCCCGAATTCTCAGCCCTAATTCTACCCCACCCAGATTCTTTTGCGATTGTGATTCCACCGACTATCCAAAGTAATGTTGGTGGCTCCCGGACCATGGCGCTATCCGATGAGTCCCAGTTGCCAATAAATAAATGCAGGAGACGTTTCTGTTGGTCAGAAGGTTAAATTATGGGAATGCTATTACACTCCGATCTGTGTACGGTCAAGGCCATCCTTCGTATGGGTGCGAGAGAGAACGGGGCGCGAGATAGTCCCTCCCCCCTCGCTTGTCCCATCGTGCGCGCTGTTCTTTCTTGTGCCCATATTACTTGCAAGCGCCTGTTACGCAGGCGAGGCCAAGTCTCAAAAAGCTAACAAACACACAAAACAAATTAAAGGGCTTCTTAACCATCTTCACCATCCAAAGTCTTACCTTTCTTGGAATTTTTTGAGTTTGTAACTCAAACAAGCGATAATAATGCTTTGGATAAGGAACATAACACAAACGGCGAGGAGCGCGGTAATAAAAACTGAAAAAAAAAAGACAATATCTTTACTCCTTCTATTGTTTTTTTTATTAGCTTATAGTTTAATTATCAGTTAAGAAGTTAACTTTAAAGGATGTTGCTATAATGGGGAACCGGAAGCGGGGAACAAGCATAGGAAATGGGAAAATGAAAGATGGGAACAAAAGCTGACTAGCTGGCAGTATATTCATTTCCAATTCTCTTCTTTGTTGCCATTTTTCATTTCCCGTTTCCCTTTCTCGTTCTGTGCTCCCCGTTCCCCGTTTTAGTAACATCCTATTGGCAGTGAGTCTACGAAGTGGCTGAAAATAAAGAATACTTTCACGCTACACCTGTGTGTTCTTTCTTCTTCACTGCGATAATCGTTCACTCACCAGCATTTTCTCTCGATCTGTGTAGTTTTTTTTGCGTATCTGTGCATCATGACAATGACGATAACAATCAAAATAGTGCCAGTAACAAACCCTTGGCAAAGCTGTATAAAGTACTCAATAACCAAGGTCAAAAACTGGTACCAAATCACACAATTACTGATTTGATCACTGGTTAATGTCACTGAGCTTTGAATTAAATTATAATAAGAACATGACAACAAAACATGTGGCTTAAAGGGGGTGACACCGCTCATCAGTGATCGGCGTGGCGGATCTTCCATAAGCGTGAACATAAAGCCTTATTTATCTCCCCGGCAATAAGCTGGCTGAAAATTCCGCCGCCTTCTTGCAATTTAATGAAATTGTACAGGCTATTATTCTGGTACCAGATCAAACCAACACTAATGATTTGATTGTCCCAAAATTGTTTGATTGACCGCAAAAAAAGTTTTCTGCAATGATCTCAGAGATTTGTGTACAAAGAACCTAAATAAAACACAATAATACAAAGAGTACTTACGTATTTCGATAATTCGGTCCCCACATATTAAAGAGTCCTTACACGTATCTTCAGCACAAACTAGTAGAAATAAAATACAATTTTAGAGTTGGATAAACAGCGCACCAGAGCGGAAATTAATAGAAGAATTTCTCACATACCGTGATAATTCAACAAACACAGTAGACTACTTTTTGGTTTAATAGTAGGTTCAAGGGGAATATGTGGAGGTTTTTGGCAAAAGAAATGAGGCATGCGATGGGTTAACCAAAAATGAGGCTTCTTTGGCACTTCCCAAGAAGCATTGATTAGAAGTATCCATGATGAAATTTTTTGAATTCTAATTCTTTAAGGGTGAAAGGAATTTTTTGGTGTCCTGTTTTAGATATGAGGATCAGGCGCGGATCTATACCGTTTTCCTCCGTTTTACGGAAATCGGTCAGATTTTTCATATATATATTTTTAGTAAAACTCAAAACTTTCAAAGTTGAAATCTGGAAAATAGTTTGGACAGTCAATAAATATCTTGTCTGAATGACTCAGAAATTAAGGAAAGGGGACTTTGGGGAATTGAAATCTAAAAAAAGATCCCCGGGGGAGCATGCTCCCGTACCCCTCCAAGAAGGTTGCACTTCCGGAGATCGTCTAGGAAATCGGTCATTCGTGCCTGAGTATTGCCTTAGCAGTCGCCCTCAAATGACTCCACTAAGAAATCCTTCTAAATTTTGCCAGTTACTTGAAATCATTTTCCCAACCAAATTTAGAACCTCCATATAAAAAAGTCCTCGATATGACGAACTATTTTTTAACCCAACTAATAGTACAATACATGGACATTAAAGAACCTCGATATAACGAAACCTATAGCGAACTACTTTAAAGAGTGTGCTTTTTAGTTAATAAAGAAGAGGTCTTAAACAAGGTTAATCAAGTGATTTTAAAAATTTTTTTATCGCTCTCAAGGGACGTTACGAGGATCATCAGCGTACGGGGCGGGGGGGGCTGCAGCCCCCCCTGTCGGAAAAAGAATAGTATTATTCGGGCAAAACTGATGTACCGTTCGGGCAAAGACACAGTAAGGTGAGACACCTGCTGCAGCGAACGACAGCTCACAACAGACGGCAAAAGACCACTTTCGTATCACAGTTTATTACACATGTAATGACAAAGTTGTCAGTGAACTTCAATTAAGGTTTGAGGGCAATGAGCAGGAGGTTTTGTGCGCATTGGGCGAAATCGTTTTCAGCCGTTCTCCAAGCATCAACAACATCCAAACTGTATCAAATTTCTATGGCGTGGATAGTGAAATGCTATCAAGTGAGAAGTAAATCTTTGAAAACTACGACTGCGGGGACCCATGCCAGAGAAAAAACGCAGCCGTCATGGTAAAGACCATGCATCAAAATGGTCTCCATGACATTTTACCTGTTCTATATAAAGTTCGTGCTCTGCTGAAAGGTCTTTCAGCGCCCTTCGCCGCATCAAGACATTTTTAAGATCCACAATGGGACAAGACCGACTTAGCAGTATCGCCGTTATTAACATTGAAAGAAAGTATGCAAACAAGACAATGCAGTGACAATGACGTCACGAAAGAATCATCTTGTGCATCCGTGACCAACAAGTTTCATTCGGGCAAATTATGTTCAGCCCCCCCCAACAAAATTTTTCCCGTACGCCGATGACGAGGATCGACGCTTTTTAGCTGATTCTACAATAACACCGCAATGGAATTCCCAGTCATATATGTTGTGGTTCAACTTTATCCTTGATTTAAATTTTATTTTCCTTGTTTTGGCGTATGGTAATGCTTGTGTGATTTTGAAACAATGGGAAATGAAAATTAAACCAAGGATAAAATAGAACCACAACATATATTTGTCTAATACAACTATGACCTTTTTTTATGAAATAGTTTTGTATGTAACAAAATGAACTTTTCACAAAGATGAAAAATTTGTAGCCAATGTATCAGAGCCACTTTAATTGGCTTGGGACCCAATTTGCATGAATTTTTTAGACTTTTTGACATCGTTTAAATCTCAACATATATGCATACTAGACTAAATTATTGAGTTGACTGACCATAGTTGATTCTGTTATGGTTACGAAAAGCTATCAATAAGATTACCGCAATTTCGAGTTATTTGATACAATTCTACAAACTTCATGACGCAATAGCAATAGAAATGCCGCACTATGTTTTGTATTTTTGGTTCAGCTTTAAATGTCTCGATTTACTCGAGTCCAAGATCTACGCAGCTACAAAAATTTATGATGCATAATTGTAATGCGAGTGACTTAAGTTTCTGATTTAAGTCTTCGTTCGTTTTTGAGGTAGAAAAAATTGACATGTGTATGCGGGGTTCAGTTTTTTTTGCGTCGTCTTTGTTTGTTTCAAGTTTCTATAGCATTTATGACGCGAATAAGCTTTCGAGAAAATTCCAGACAAGTTACATGAAACGAAACAGATTGTTTTAAATGCGAGTCGGCTCTCTCTTGAGGAACCTCAAATCCTTAAAATCTTTACTGACGCTCCCTCAAAATTTGTGCTGTCCGTTTGCAAATTTGGCCTTGTAGTAAAATAAAACAACTGAACAGTCGTGAAACTCACAGCGCATATTAAAGTTGTAAGACTCTTTGACTACTACTGCAGTCCAAGTACATTCACTAAATTGAGTATTTGTTTTGATCAATCTAACCTACCTTTTGCGTTGAAACTAGCAAATATCACCAGGAGTATGAAAATGCAGGAGTTTTCCTTTATCGCTAACATCACTGGATTGATCGTGATTCAGTTAATTGACAAGGTGAATAAAATTAGGGCCGACGCCAGCGTAATTTCAGAGGCCGACGTCTGAGCGATCGACAATTCGAATACAATTGAACGCAACTTGAATAAGCTTCACTGGAATAATCAAACTTGCAGATCTTTTGAACCATGAAATTTATGTCCTCCATTCACTGAAACGCGGACAATAGCCATGGTATCCTAGGTGGGTGGGAATTAAATCGAAAACAGTGCAGAATAGTCATCAGTTTTTTGTACACAAAATCCAGACTGTCAAGTAGTCGAAAATGAATGAGTACGTCCACTGCCAACAGTGTATAATCTCTATGGGTAATTTTTTACTACACTGGCATAGGTTTCGCTGTAGTTGAAGTGGGAACCCGATGTATGATGATAATTATGATATATTATTTGTGTGTGAACTACTTACCCACTTGAAAGATTACACTGAGGTGCTAAATTAAATGGGATACTTGTTAAAAATTTAATCACATTATGTAGCTCAATTCTATAAGGTGTACCAAAATGATCCGCCCTTTTGCATGTCTTTACATATCGCCATTAGTCTCAACCATCGTACAATTAAAAAAAATTATAATACTGTCTTACTCCAACTTTTCAACTAATATAATGGAAATTCAATATTCTACAAGTGGGCAATTATTTGGAATCGTGTACCGGGTCGGAACAGTTCGGCAAACCAATATTCCTGAGAAGTTTTAATAATAAAAAGGATTGATGAGTCGAATCTAATTATAGACACCGATTTTAGCAACCTTTACTGTAAAGAGGTTTGAATTTTTATCTTTTCTTCCTCTTTTTAAGGCCTTCACATGTATAAACAGGTTTCTTTTTTAGACTGCACATGTGATGAAATCTACAAATGGACTCGTACGTGAGTTGAAAAGAGGCGCTTTTCTACTAGTAAATATCATGTTGAAATCAACCCATCTCTGCTCTTCGGTTCTTAGGTTACTTTATTTTGTCCATGATCGGCATTATTAAATGTATTGAGCGTTTTCACATGACGTCTGACTGAGGCAAAAGAAACAAAAACAAAAAGAAAACAATGAAACGGTGGCCATGTTGGTACATGTTCTTGTGGGAGTTGAATCTTTTCTTAATATGTAAACGCTTTCTTGTGTTATTTGCATAGATGCTGGCCACGTAAGTGTTATAGTTAACCGTCTCTACAACATATTCAATTACAATTGACAATATTTTTAAACCAAAGAGAAAAGAGCCTTGCTTTCCAGTGACGAAGGACCCACAGGAGCCGGAAGACACTGCCAGCAAAACTTTTTCGATAAGCCTGGTAACTAAAGGATAACGGTTTTCTCATGACTAAGAAGTAGTCCAATGGAAAGGTCTCCAGTGATCCGGAAAATTGTTGCCGATGAAATCTGGAATCCTGGTTTTTGAAATCCGGAATTCAGCTCAAGGAATCCGGAACTCCGCTAACCATTGGAAATCGGAACCCAAGTTCTACGGACAAAGAATCGTGAATCCCGCTAACCACTGGAAACCGGAACCCAAGTTCTACTTACAAGGAATTGGGAATCAAGTACCTGAAATATAGCCTGCGAAAACAGCCGTTTTCTCCTCGCTTTTCGCAGCTGGGGACGCTTCGCGCAGAGGAACATCTGCGTCTCAGCGACAGAAATTCCATACTGATGGTGTAAAATCTGTCCGAAATCCGGTCAGTCGCCCTGATTTGTACGGAGTAGTTACACTGTTTAGCTATTGTTTACGAATGACAGACAAAACACAAAAGGCCACAAAGGTCATATGTAAACGCGAAGAATCTCTAACAAAACAGTCAATATTTGTGGAATACAGTCTTCTCTGGAAGGAGCATTAAAGTTTTGCTGGAGCTCGTTCGCAACATAATATTTTACCAAAATCGACCAGGAGAAACGTAAAATTGAACAAATTTACTTTTGGAACCCCATGACTACCGGATTTATCATGTCATCAGTATGGAATTTCTGCCGCTAAGACGCAAACGTTCCTCTGCGAGGAGAGAGGGAGGAGAAACGGCTGTTTTCACAGGCTACCTGAAAGAGTACGCAATCGAAAGCACCATGAAAGCGTCATGTGGAATCAGAACCCAAGGCTGTCTCGGATTAACTTACATCAGTGCAAGAAAGGGGTGACGAATGGTAAAATCCGAGCCTTGCCGAGACGCCGAGACCCTAGTTTAAAAATCCGAGCCCGAGCCTTGAATTTGTTTGTAAAATCCGAGCCCGAGTCTTAGCGCTAAAAAAATCCGAGCCCGAGACGCAGTGATCCAAAAATCCGAGCCCGAGATGCACTTGATCCGAAAATACGAGATACAGCGCTCTGAGCTTTTGTGGGCATCACAACAAATATTTTTCCACTCATCCCAAAACATTGGTTTTGTATTAAAACCATTAACTTATAGCTACTTATCTAGTCTACTTGGTCTACCACTCAGAGACATAAAATTAAACGTATTAAGTAACGCATTACTGCTTATAGTCTACTTATTAACCTGGTTAGTTACTTTATAAACTAGTTAAACTAATGATTCGACATTCTGCCTGGTTTAAAATTCACACGCCTTCTGATAGCTTCTGATCTGTCGGCTTCTGGCACGCGTAAATCTGCGAACGATCGGCTTTCGACTAGCTACTACTGCAAATGGCAGAGAGTGAAGAGGAAATAGAAGAGGGTTTTGAAGCAACGAAAGGAATTAAACGCAAATACGGTAAGTTATAAGATCGTCTTGCTTAGAGCTTAAAGTGCATTACTATTTGCTACTATTAGCTACTATTACCCTCGCAGCTCGTCGATCGGACTATTAGGTTCTATTTGTAGCTTTTAACAACGTCGTCGAACGATGCGTTTTGTTCGATTCGTGTATCGCAGAGCTTGCTATTTTTGTCAGCCATGTTAGTTAAGCTTAGTTAGCTTTAGTTCATGTTGTACTTCGGACTATATCTGGCAACAAGCCACAGTAGCTCAGTTCCTGGACTTATAGCTAATATTCAATTACATTATTGATATAAGTAAGCGGGAAAATAAGCAACATTTCCAAAATAATTTCAGTGTAGGTCTTTAAATCATTCGGGCCAAGAACAGTTCAATTCTCAAACGATTGTCGTTGGGTACCCATGTACTATCATGACATGATTTCCTCTATAAAGTAAGTGGAAATTACTGTTTGCTATATCTTACATAACAATTGTAAATGCAGATTCCGGCAGGGGTAAATTTCTTAATTTCTCGTTTCGGATAAGCTTGCGGATAAAAAATTGAACGTCCCATTGGCGAGATTTCGAGATCCAAATTTTCAAAATCCGAGACTCCGAGATCCAAATTTTCAAAATCCGAGACTCCGAGACCGTCATATTTCTGGGAAATCCGAGATTCCGAGACGCTTTTTTTAAGCGCCGAGATTACGAGACTCGGCTTAAATTTGCCGAGACTCAACATTTTTGAAAGGCCATTCGTCACCCCTCAAGAAAGAAGGGTCTTTTTGTGCTTTTTTGCAGCTTACAAATTATTCTTTTTGTCGCTTAAACAATGTTGTTATATAGAAAATAGGTGTTTTGTGTAAATATCTGTGTGGTCTGTTGATTTATCTTTGTTTCAGTGACTGCCATAAGATAAGATGGTAAGAAAGGAAACTGGTATTCTGTTGGTGGTTCTCGCTGATCTGACGTGTGATCCGTTCTTTCTTGAATTCTGAAAAAATATTTTGTATATACGAAGAAGCGTCATTGAACGATTCTATTTACAATGTTTTGCTTATAATTATACAATAGGTTCGTCTGTCATTTCTACTCACTGAATTATCAATGCCATTGGCCTGATGAAGACCATAAGAAAACGGTCAAGATATTGCGATCAGAGATTAGCATTTTGTAGCCTGCGAATACAGCCGTTTCTCCTCGCTCCTCACCGCTACAGACGTTTCGCCAGGAAGAACGTCTGCGCCTCAGCAACAGGAAATTCCATGCTGATGACGTAAAATCTGTCCTGAATCTGGTCAGGATCGAGCTCTCATTGTTCATCGTAGTAGTTATATTGTTTTACCTATTGTTTACGAATAACAGACAAAAGGCTAAAGGTCACAAAGATCATTTGTAAGCGGTGTCGTAAACGTGATGAATCTGCTACAAAACAGTCCGCAATACTCCTGGAATACATTTTTGGAATTTCTGTCGCTAAGGCGCAGACGTTCCCTCTGGCGAAACGTCCCGATCGGCGAGGAGCAAGGAGAAACGGCTGTGTTCGCAGACTAAGCATTTTGAGTCAAAGGACTGCTAACCTATCAAAAAAGAATAATGTCAATTTTCAGGAGCCCATCATAGTACTGTTATCACATCTTATCTTATTGATATAACCTTAATCAATTTTTGTAGCCACGCAAAACTTGGTAGGTGCACCTACGGGAAACTAGTTACCCGGCATCCCCCCTTCCCTCTTCCCCCAAAGTGGAAAAATGTTCCGCCGTTCATGTGTTATGTGCGTCCGACATTAAGACTTATATTATTATTGTCACTGATTAATGAGCTCGGATGTTAAAAGCGTGTTAAATTCTCGGCTCCCTTTCGTGAGAACGGCTCTGACAGCCCGTGTTTCACCAGGCTCCCCTGGATTCTACTATGTTTAATACGACAAATCTTTTAAGATAAAATAATTTTCAAGCAGGCATATTTAGATTTTTTTGAATTTTGCTGATAATGCAAACTGCTCTCTTACCCAAACAGAGCTTCTAATGAGCGCATTGTTCCAAACACGACTAACACAAAAACCTGAACAGCAACTAACGTCCCAAATACCATTAAAAAGATGAATGCCACTGAAAAGCAAGAAGAGAGGAGTGATCGTTATACATGGCAAACTAGGGACGGAGGGTATCTATAAAGTTAAGAGCAGCAGTGTCTTCCTGATCATGAGTCCCTTACTGAACACTTAAAAAAACAGATTCAGATAATTAAATTCTTTAGGCACTTACTTGTGTTTATGTCTTTCTCGTCTTCTGCACTATCCAGATGGTTGTATTCTAAATTAAACAAATTAATTTGCTAGAGTAATTCTGACCGCATCATTTATTTAGGATTCAGACTCGTCTGAGAAT